ATTTCAAACAACACATGGCGGTCTTTATGATATTGTTCAGGCTATTCGTCGAAAACATGAGGGTTTTTATCTCAGGTTGAATCAAATTGAACGGGATGCCTGGCCACCACTGTTGTTCGGAAGCCTGTCCAAAGTGAGTTTTGTTTTCTTGTTCCTATCATTGCTCACAATTTTAATGTCCTTATGTCCTATATCATCGTTCAGCGAAATACAGCGAATTGAACTACACTGAACCCTGCTAAATTCGCAATGCATACTAAGTTCATGGTAATATGTNCGTTGCCCTTCTGGTTGGTTGGTGTTATGGCTTACAACTGACTGATTTGTGTTCATACATGCCTGTGGTCAAATTGATTGATCAATCGATGTGTTGAGCAATTGACAAACTGTTTGAATTCTGGCTTGACGGTATTCGCATTTAGTGAAACGGGACTTTGCCTACCTGCCCTCCAACATACTGATAATTCGTACTTGTTCCCCGGTTTGTGTACCGGCTACATATTTGCTGTTTGCAATAAACTTACTGCTTCATTTGTTTACTAAATTTGGGACACAGCATTTGGCGTCGCGGCCACTGAACCTGCAAAATGTTTGGTTTACTTTCCGATTATTAGTGTTGCTGCATAAAAACTGTAGCGTGTACTGCAGGCGCTTCCGATTTCAGTATGTTCATCTTATGTGCTAACAAACCCAAATTTGGATTCCTGTTTGTCACGACTGATAATCTCAAATGCCAGTAGTGGTGGTTTTTGGAAGTGGACTGGAGCCATTTAAATCGTATCCATATTTACCCTTATTTAAAGACTCTCAATAAGTCATGTATTATTCTTTTGGTGTATGAGATGGAGGATTTGATTTAATTATATGGTGCATAATTGCTTATTGAAGAGCTAGTAGGCACTGGACAGCTGTTTCAAATTCGGGATCGAACCCGGTACCTCACAGTTAGAATGCAGGCATACTACACACTTGGTCATTGGGCAGCTGGACCGACAGTTTCTCAGTTTCAATCATCTCGCTCTTCTCAGCACTAGCCTCCATAATTATGACCCGGTTTGAGACTCACACCTCATTTACAAGACGAATTCATCATATATTCTCTTGGTATACACACCTGAGTTTGGTGCTGTTACAGAACTTCTTCCGGGTACACTTATGGGAACCAGCGAACTGATCTCTTAGACTTGAATTAGCGATTTGCAATAAGTTCCCGGAAAGATAACCGTGTTATTGAGTCGGGTGAAAGTGAAGTTGCCTGCCTATTTACGTTTTTCAGTTCGAGAAACTTCTGAATGTGACCAGTTGAGACAGCTGCGTACTAGTCAAACTTGATCAAAAATGGAAACTTCCAGAAGACCTTCTTGATGATGCTAGAAAGTCGTAGGGGGACATCGTGAGTCCAGGGATATCTAATTTCATAATCTGGTAGTAGGCCGTGAGTAAGATGTCTGTTGTGCATACTTGTCCCCGTGTCAGTTTTTTTCCATCGCGATTCGGGATCTACGTGTCGGTCTGTGGCCTTCGTTTCAACTGGCGCAAGTCAATTCCAGCTGGTTGAACTGCGGTTATCGTGCCAGACCCGATGCGCGTCGGGCGCAGCGATCCGAGACGAAATCGGTCCCACGCCCTATGCAGTCCGATCATTTGGAGGAAAAAATGAACATGGACTACTTGGATTGGGCCACGAACAGCAAACTAGCAGCGGTACTCACGCTCACGTCTCTTCGAGTCACATTTCACTGCAGTCGGGATTGGTAAGTCATGGTTCCTGAATGGGCGTGTAGTTTGAAATAGACGAGTTACGTATTGACACTTTGAGGCTACGAACAGGACTGGTAGTTCTAATGGCAGTGCCATTCCGGAGGATGTGTGTATCAGCGGAACTGCATCTGCATTCACCCACCTTTTATGCTTGATTTGGTCTCAAACGCAGTTGGAACGAACACGAGGTACCATGACATTGTTTTATCTGTCACATTTGTGCTACTATCATTTTTTCTGGTAATAATCATTGATCCCTTAACACTTATGAGCATAACAGTTTCGGGATACTCATTTCCGACTTTTTAACAATCAGCAATCGCTATTATTTGGTTTGGATTTCACACAGTGTAGTCTCGGACCCGTAGCCCGCTAGCAAGGTAGAACAACAGTACGCAGGGTAGGATAGATTTATTATGTTGAAATAATCCCACAGAGCACATTCGAAACAAAACAACAGAGTGGCGAACAAGCTCGTTTTCAGAGATTCGTATTCATGCCAGTACATCTCAATATATATCACTACTTGGGAATAAAATTGTCATG